TATATATATATATATATATATATATATCAAAGCGTAGGGGAACAAACAGTAGGATTACAGCGTTCAAAACATTAATTTAAAAATAGTGCTCAATACACAAAGTAGAGCCGTAAATATTTATTTATCTTATGCCGTGTTACATTAGAACATGCACATATCCACTACAAAATTGTACATTTTCGCTTCAACGCCAAAAAAGGGGAAAAACATTTTTAAACGTCTCATCAGGTGGGAAATCACGGTGTTACTAAAAAAAAAAAATTTTATTCAGAAATACAGTTATCGAAGCAAATATCCCCCACTTCCGTTCTTTGAAAATTTTCATAAAATGTCTTCTAGATGTAGAGATGGAATTGAATCTAATGTATTAAGTAGTCACGGGCGAACGAAAAGGAAATGGAAAAGAAAAAAGGGCTCGACGTTGCACAAATTCGGTGAGTGGACGAGAATCTTTCAATGTGATATGGCCGTAAGCATATATATGCATCAGGAATAATTTTACAAACTTTGGGGGTGGTTTCCTGACACCCAAACAAGATAAAAATGTCCATATAAACATATGTCCAAAAGGCAATCGTTGTACCTCAACACAGCAACTAGTAACGAATGTTCAAAATACCCCCCGTTTTCTTTTACACACGCATGCATCTGTCGGATCATCGCCTGGCGGACCCTTTCAAATGCTCTCACACGCTGTCGAATGATTTCGCCCCCATGACACGTTGATTAAGTCTCCCTGCATTATTAATGACTGCTGCATAAACCAATTGTTTGAGGTGGCCTCAAAAGATTGAGGTCGGGTAACGTGCGGGCCATGGATCCGGTCCTCCCCTACCTATCGATCAATCATGGTAGATTTTAGTCAGTTTATCGCGAACAATGATGAACCACATGCGTCTTGGTATTAGCAGGGCTACATCCTCTAGCAGGTCTGAAAGTGTGTTCGAAATAAAGTCCCTGTAGACAGTTCCTGTAAGACGTGCTGGGAGAACATATGGACCTACTAGACAGTCACCTACAATTCCAGCCCACAAATTAATCGTAAACTGATGCTTGTGTCTAGCCTGTATTGTACCGTGGAGATTCCGTTCCACCCACAAATGTTGGTTGCGTAAATTTGGTATTCCATCTCTTCCAAATGTTGCCTCGTCCTTAAACAAGACTGAAAACAACGGATCGGCAGTTTGTGCAATAAATCGTCCCGTGGTGAGTAATCAGAAGACAAAAGATACATATATATATTTCTTAAAATACATTTATAAAATAAAACGGTATAGGTCATCAGTGATGTTACCCTGGCTTCATAACGAATTTCGGGTATTGCAATATCAGATCCGTTCTGCCAAGTACCCCGACCTGTTTACAGGACGCCTCTTCGCATAATTCGCCCCACGATGTACTATTTTTAGAAAGCAATTATTATATTCCTTTTCTTATGTGTATATAACTACTCTTTGTAAATACTTATTAAAAACGGTTACTGACCAGGCTTGACGTTGCTTAACTTTGGTGAGAGGTCTAGAACCATCGTTTCAACGTGATATGGCTGTGAGAATTCGCTGGAACTTATGACCGTGTTGTGATTTCGATCCTCACTGGGGAGGGGTGTCATACTTTTGGCCTTGTGCCACATCTGAGCTACGCTTAAAAAACACAATGATTAGAAATTAAAAAATATCATACGTATACGAACGCACACAAAATGAGATATGTAATTATCTTGTATATAATGCCAATGCTTTTCTTCCTTTGGCTTCTTGTCCGTTTTTCACGCAACCGACTTTAGTAAGAGACTGCTTACTTGACAAATATTCTCGACAGATCCACCATTTTTCTTCATGAAATCAGAGTTGCAGAATCAATGAAGATTGAGATTTCAAACTGAGCTCTTAAGAGCTTTCAACGACAGTTATCTATTAGCTAGAGAAAACAGACGACAGCCGTAAACATTACATTGTGTGCAATACAATCGTCTGGCTGTTCTGTCAATTAAGCTAACCGTTTTTTATAATGGCGTTTATTACGACAGCAATAAGGGGTTATACATACATACAGGTGTGTGTGTGTGTGTTTTGTATGTGTGTGTGTGTGTGTGTGTGTTTGTATTCAGATATAAATAAAATCTATATGTAAAGACAATATAAAGACAACAGTCCCCATAGTTTACCTTTCCTTACACAGCAAGCTTCAAGAATATTTTAGAGCGTTCTCAAATAGAAAATTTGAAAACTTACCGATATTTTCCGTCCACCTTACTTCTATGTATAAATACAAGTTACAAAATAAAATTCCTAAATTTACCTTACTAAATTCCTTCAGGTGATGAAACGTGTTGGTAAAAAAAAAGTTTAACTTTTATCTTGTATATAACATATAAAATTATGATTGTTTTCTGATATATATATATATATATATATATATATATATATATATATATATATATATATATGTGTGTGTGTGTGTGTGTGTGTGTGTGTGTGAAGAAATATAGTTTTTAAGGGGTGTGGTATATTTATGGGATAAAGTGCTCACTATCAGCGATAGAGCGTATGTAAATATAAAGTGAACATTGAAGTCAACACTCAGAGGCGGCAGACTGTTTCATGCTTGACGCAATCGGCGGACTGACGATTGCGTCTAGCATGAAACAGCCTGTCGCCTCTGAGGGTTGACATCGATGTTCACTTTTATATAAGATTTTGGGTAAATGATTCCAACTGAGTTATGCATTAAATGACAATTGAAAAAACAAAAAAAAAAAAAAACTTTCATGAAAGTATAATGTTTCAAAAATATATCCGATCATGCATTTCACCCACTTCGGGCTTCATCAGATCGAAAGGCGAAAAAGTGAATTACATGTCTCTGTATTTATGTGTTTATTTGAAGATCATATTTTTCCCAGTACAATAAAATTGAAAAAGGAAAGCACAGCACAATACACTAATGTATACAACGCAGCGGTCGACTCAGAAATGATTCCGTTCGCGTTAACTCGGCAATGTTCAAGAACCGAAATTTTTGTTCGATAACGGAGGCATTTTCATTTCGAATTTTCTCTTCGAAAACTGATTTGTTCGACATGTGAGACGTTGGAGAACCGAGCTTGCACTTTGTCATATATATATATATATATATATATAAGACATTTTTATGTTTATACATTCTTTTTATAGATACAAATATTTAAGTAAATTCTCTGTTTTATAATAAACAATATTAAACAACATTTACCGGCCTGGAACAGAGCATTTACTTAAATATTTGTATCTATAAAAAGAATACTATAAAATGTCTTAAAAATATTATCGGACTTTGTCCATTTCAATATATATATATATATATAAAAGAAATGGACAAAGTCCAAATAATTATTAATAAAAGACATTTTATGTTTAACGTTCTTTTATAGATACAAGTATTTAAGTAAATGCTCTGTTTATAATAAACAGTATTAAATAACATTTACCGGCCTGAATGTCCGAGAAATTTTCATAAAAATATTCGTCCTTTGACAAATTTCGAACCTGCATCCTATACGGAACCGTTATTTACGCTGACGTGTCAAAGTACGAATATTTTCTATGAAAATTTCTCGGATAAAAATAATATTAAACATAAAATTGTTTATTATAAATATATATATATATATATATATATATATATATAAATATATATATATATGTATATATATATATATATATATATATATATATATAAAGACAATTTTGAAAAGGTTTTTACATTGATGTTTTCCCCTTTCCTTCAGCGTTATCAGAAAATTAAATATTTCTATATATACCATTGTTCTAGCGAAATTAGTACTAAAACAGTGTGGAATACAAAACCCTTAAAAAACAGATGAAATTAGTTAATATTCATATTTCTATATCGATGCAGTTGAATAAATAAAATATGAAGAGTTGACACGCTTAAAGCAAATCACCTTTATCTCGCTAATCTTCATTTTGTTCTTGTGAAATAAAATTCTTTTTATGATGAAGCTGGTTCATTTGCGAAACATGTATAATTAAATTAATATAAAATTTAAAATAAAAATGCCATGTCCTTTCAGGATGTAAGCCGATCATGGCTTTCCACAGAGTCTTTTTCTTTATTATTTGGGAATTGCTATGACTTCTTGTGAAAGATAACAGTGATTTCTCACTGCCTTCTCCCTAATTTCGAATTGAGAGTTTTCCCGCTCCCAGACTGGCTGACATTGAAAGCTAGAGAGTCTAATCTCGTATTTAACCCATAGAAAGGGGTACAGAGAATAAATATATTTATGCGTTTTCTAAAGGCATTTGTGCGAAGTGAATGCAACCGAATTTTAAACTCGGCGCGTCAATTTCACTTTCTGTGTTATTATCCACCACGCCACCCACACATCCGTAGACATGTTAATAATCTTTTTAAATCCGCGTTTTAGCTGGCGAAGCAACAATTTCCTGAGTATAAGTGACAGTTGTATGATGAAGGAAGAAAGAAAAAAGTCTTTGTTTCCTTGAAATGTCATTTGGAGGATTTTTACAAGGTCTAGCCGTTCCCACTAACCGCCTGTTTTGAAAAAAGAATTCTACTTGAGGAAAAATAATTAACTTTGTTTCATAAGACTGATACGAAGTCTGAAAATATCGCATGAATTTCAATACTGAATTTGATAGGACATTCTGAGGGCGCGACTCTCTTTGATATCAGTTAGAAGATCAGCCTGATCTTGCAGTGGTGAGTTCGATCCTCAATGGATGTGCTACGGTAGTAGTCTTTTTTTTTTTTTTTTAATTATAAACCAGTCTTCGATGACACTTCCCTTAGCCTTTGAGTTGGGTTCCGTCGGTTTGACTTGTCTTTGTTGGGCCATCCAATGACGAGATTTGAAATAAATATATAAATAAAATGAAATAAGATAAAACGTTGGTCGAGTCTGTTCGTTGAGGAAACGCTGGTCAGATCGGTATTAGAGTCTGCCGGGGAAACGCTGGTCGGGTCCGTACTAGAGTCCGCCGGGGAAACGCTGGTCAGATCGGTATTAGAGTCCGCCGGGGAAACGCTGGTCAGATCGGTATTAGAGTCCGCCGGGGAAACGCTGGTCAGATCGGTACTAGAGTCCGCCGGGGAAACGCTGGTCGGGTCCGTACTAGAGTCCGCCGGGGAAACGCTATTCGATTTTGTACTAGAATACGTGGGGTATTTTAAGCTCTGACAGTACAAGCCAATCAGCAAAGTGTAAGATCTCATCTTCGTTGTTTTGCAATGACGGAAGTTTAGTTTCAGTGATTCCAACCACGTGTAAGCACCTTTCTTTCTCTGGAGAGAGACGATACCGATGCCAACCTGACAATGTTCGCGGAGACTGAACAATTTTTGTCTTTGGCCCGTATGTAGATATATGGACCCCACCACAACATAATAGTATTCTTGTTTCATATCCTGCCACTGTAGGGATGTTTATAAATACCGAGAAAAGGGAAATTCCTCTTAAAATTCTGAGTGTATTCCAATTTTTCGATATCACACCCACTTATTTCACTAAAGAGGGAGTGTTGGTCGAAAGAATGATCGTCATTGAATCGAAGAAACATCGGAAATGGCAAATAAAATTCGAAAAACTTGAATATGATTAATGCTGACGAGTCTATCGGGAAACGCTGGTCGAGTTTTCAGTGTGGGTTTAGATCATGTTGTTTTTGATGAAAACTTTACTTGGTCGAATTTTAGCCAGAAAAATCGGCGTTGAAGACAAAGTAATTGAAATATATATATATATATATTTATATATAACTGTAGCACACATCCAAATGTGAATGGAGAATTTTAGACTAGACAAAAAGCTATTTTCTCAGTCGAATGTCGAATTAAACACTTTTTTAAAAAGTTAACAAGCAATTTTTGAGTAGCTTCCTTTATTTGCGATTTAGCGAAAGATATATTGGGAAAACTGAAAAATAGTGGAAATTAAACTATGGGGAACATTTCGAGATAGAAAAATACAATTTTATGCAATTGAAATGCAAAATCTGTAAGAATATCTATAACATATAATATATACCAGCGGAAGTCATTGCCCAAATAATAAAAAATAAATCAACAGGAAGGTTTTAGCTGTCCTACTTTCAGGTTAACCATAAAGTATTTAAAAGGAAAATGGCATCGTACAATTTAAAAATTAGCCAAGCCAGTGACCTGATTAGAATACTATAAAAATTGTGGGACGGTATTAAAGAAAGTGAAAGATAAAATGACCAGAGACATTATCTCCGTGAGACGTAAAAAAAAAATCGCCACTGACCTGAAGAAACGCCCTTAAAAAGGTTAACAAAATTTGAAAAGACTTGGTCGAATTCAACTAGAAAATAAAATTTGACGACAAAGCATGTCAAATAGGGCAAGGCTTGGTACATTGATGAACAACGCATATTTCAAAAAAGAAAGCGTCTATTTGCTTACAAGTGGTACCAGCGCATGCGTATTTAAGCCTTTCTGTTTATAAATCGAAGTTCTGCGAATTGAGAAAGTTTTGAACCAAATTTGTGGAAAAATTACTGATTTTATCGCAGTAGGTAAAAATATATTTTTGTTCTAATTTTTTTAAAAGCCATTTACTTTTGCAAATATGTTTTTGCCCTTATAAGCTAATATCATTTTTTCTTTAATTGAGTACCCTTGCCAAAACACTGATGTTAGACGAAAACACCTGTCGCTATAGGAAGGTAAGGATCAAAGATGGTGAAACGGACACAGATGAATAGTACTGCATTTATTGCTGTGGTGCGTATGCAAAATCCCGGGTGGAGAGAAGTGAATTCAGGGTTCATGAGGAATGCACTGACTTTGGTGTGAGAAACATTGTTTTTATTTGTCAGTTGTGCAAGGATGCAAATGAGTATATACATAGCGTATAATTTAGCAGCATGTTTTCATTAAGACATGTCTCATTAAATAATTTAGACAAGTTTTGTCTACTCATTTATAATTGGATCCTCTCGTAGTTACGAACATATTTCTTGGTCATACCATTACAACGTTGAGTTTTCATTTGAATGATGCATCTAACATCTCTCAACATTTACAACAGCATGCCTGCCCACATTCGCAATTTAGAAAAAATTCTTGTTGAAAATACATCTATAATTTTTCATGAAAATGATAAACAAACTAAAAATTCGTGAAGCTAGCTATACTAAAAAATTGAAACTAGCCCTTAATAAAATTAATGAATACTGCACAAATGTTTTAAAATGTTTACAGTAGATAGTTAAAACCTAGATATTTTAAATTAATAGTTTTAGTTTTTTTTAATATTTAAACATTTCAATAACTTAGTTACCTCCCTTGACTTTTGCACGTGTGTCTACATGATAGAAAATTTAAAAATTGTACAGTACATAACTTTAGCGTTTTTCACTTCACACGTAAACATTGAATTTTCATTCAGATGAACACAACAATTTTGGCTTAGAAAAAACAAGACCCTGATGACGATATTGTACTAATGTCGAAAATACTCTGAATAAATTGAATATGCATCAACATGGTTATTTTCTTTCTTCCTTTCATAAGGATACTAAGAAACTTGTCTGTAATTACGAGAGGATCCTATTAAAAATAAGTTGACAAAACTTGTCTAAAATATTTAATGAGACATCTCTTATATATATATATATATATATATATATATATATATATATATAAGCAATGCGGGAATGACACTTGTGCGCAGGGGTTTTAGCAGGCAGTGAAAGTGAATTAAGACTGAGAATAGGTAGGGGGCGCAAAATATGAATGGAATTTAAGAAGACAGAAAATGGCGATTGATATTGAATTTACATTTTTGAAGAGTGTAGTTATCAGAGAAGCAAGTAAACGGAAGGGAGTTCTACTGGCGGGAAGTGCAAGAAAAGACACTGTTGGAGTAGAAGTTACGGTTTCATTTCGCTATTTCAACAGTAAAAGGGTGGGACCTAGTAGCACGTTTAAATTCATGTATTCGGGGCACCAGGGAAAAAAGTTCGTCAGAGCAGTTGCCATGAAAATATTTGTAGAAAAGACAAAGGGAAGCCACGTCACGTCGGTGAGAAAGTGAGTGAAGTCGAGATGTCTGGTCAGGATCGCTTACATTGCAGATCCTTTTCTGGATTTTGTGAAGAACATCGAGATGTACAGCAGGAGCATCAGACCAGATATGGTAGCAGTATTCAATGCACGGACGAATGGTAGATTTGTAAATGTACAGGATGGATTCTGACGAGAAAGCTTTTCTGGCGCAACACAGTGACTCAGCTTACATTGCAGATATTGATTCGATGTAGTCGCTCCATTTCAAGTCTGTTATGGCCCGGTTCCTTGTACCACGGTGATAATCCAAAGTAGAACCAATAAAGAAGAATTCGAACACGTATATCGAATAACACAGATATATTACAAACAGGAGTATATACAGAGAGGTAGAAAGTGTTAGTACGAACAATCAGGTTTAGTAGTAATTGTCTGAACGCGACCCTGTTTCGGACTGCCTCTGACCCGACTGACTGACTCGCTCGCTCTGACTGACTAACGGACTTCTGACGGACCTCAACTCCAGACTTCAGACTGAACGGTATTTAGTCACCCCACTCACGAGGGCATCATGTGGCACAAGGCCGGTTTAACGTAGGATCTCCGGGCCAAAAATATGCCCTTTGAACCAGTATAAACGGGTTCAGGATAGCTTTACCTCCCCGAAAGAGACTCCGCCCTTCGGCGTAGCCTCGTTCGGGTTCCTCCCCGCACGAAGGCAGAGAGTTCAACCGATCAGACGATCAGCCGGTCGCCCGAGTTCGGACTGAACTCCCTGCTTCCTCTTGAGGCGCAGTATTTATTACGTATGGAATAGTCCATTATGTTATTATGTGTAATGTCCCATAACAAGTCAGTAGAAAACGTGAGGCCAAGAAGGTGCAGTGTGTTGCTCTCCTGGAGTCTAGCGTTAGCCATGCTGATGGCAGGCAGAAAAGGTTGTTATAGTTATTCATTGGTATCAAAATTATTACTTCTGTCGATTAATATATTCTCTTGGCTTTATTAAAAATAGGATTTAAGCCCAATTTTTGCGTTGCTAATTCTTTACATCAATTTTTTTGCTCTTGCATCAACATGTTCCACGGATAGAGCAGGTTATTGCATTTGGCAGGCTGTCATAAAGGTATATTATGAAAATTCTGTATTCTATTCGTTTCAAAATACTTACAACAATTGGCCAACATACTGGAGCATGTGTTTGCCAAGTTGCAGCTCAGTCAGTGGGCTGGTTGTTGTTTACCGTCAATTAGAAAAAGATTAAATCAACGTACCTCATCTTACCCTACAAAAAACAGCTAATCAGACTGTAAAAAAAAGTTATTTTTTTCAGGTGTCGAATTGAACATTTTTAAAAGCAAAGAGCATTTTGTGAGACCCAACGTCCACTAAATTCCCGATCTAACAAAAAATGTACTGTGAAAATATATAAGATACTATAAAAAAAATGTGTAGAAAGACTTTATGACGGTCGGCCTAATGTGTTTGTGAGTTCTTAGAAAAAGCCTTAGTCGGCGGCTGCTGACTGTCATCTCTTCATTGTGTGTGTGTGTGTGTGTGTGTGTGTGTGTACGCACTTGTAGAGCAAACTGGCCTCTGAAATTGTTTTGAGCAGTATGCTTCTATTTTTATATCCGTAAGGGAGATCCAATATCTAATTTCACAAAGAGGTGTGAAGTTTTTGAATACAAGATTTTCATTAGTTAGAAAATAATATCACGCCTTTTCTCGAATTTGCAGGAGTGGTGAAGGGAGTTATTGTTATTTTCTAAATGGTTTAATAACACGATGTAGATCTATAAATACGTCCGCAAGTATTTTGGCGGTATTTTTGGCAAGTATTTTGGCGGTATTTTTGGCAAGTATTTTGGCGGTATTTGCCCTTGTAATGATCGTTTATCAAATAAAACTTCTGATGGAATCTTATTGGTTGAATATATGTATATACAAGGACATGTGGCACAGTGGATAAAGGCGTTGATTAGATCCAATACCTGGTTAAAGCAGTGGAGAACTTGGAGAGGTGAATGAATGGGAGATAACTGACATCCATGAGACACGGCACGTGGAACTAGAACAGTCTACCCCAGCGAGCGAAATAAAGGGTTTAGTCCGACATTCAAACCACCTGAAGAAGGCCGGAGCGTAGAACGGCCGAAACGTTGTGATAAACATGGCAACAAAGATAAGGACAATAGTCCGAATAAAGTTAATAGTTTATATATATATATATATATATATATAAAATATATATATATATATAATATATATATATGATAAAAAGAAAGAACAGTATAATTCTTATTGATATTTTTATTTTTACAAAACAGTGCTCAATGTAAATTTACAGAGCATAAATATTATAAATTAACTGATTTAAAATGTGGTTTCTTCGCTACAAAAAATTACCAGGTTTCAAAAACCGAAGCTAAAATTTTTTAATTTAATTATATAATTAAATTAAAAGCATTAGTTCTGTTAATCTTCACGCGAATTTTGGAATATATATATATATATATATATATATATATATATATATATAACAATAAAAAAAAAAATTAAAAAATTAAAATCTTCAGACACACTGGGTTTGTAGATTAATATTCTTTCGTTTTTTTATTATTATTTCATTTAGATTCCTCGACTAGTTTCGGCCAAAATGGCCATCATCAGGAAAAAAATATTTCTACTTGCTGGTAGCAGTAAACTACAGAAATGAATGTCTTGATGGAAAAATGAACTTTTGTCTCTCTCTCTCTATATATATATATATATAAATTTTGGATATATATATATATATATATATATATATATATATATATATATATATATAATTTCTATAACCCGAAACCACAGGGACAAAATAACAATAATCAATAAATATCCTATATCAGTCAAAACAATTGACACCTGATGATGACTGGAAGATGCTTGGTCGAAACGTTCTGTCTAGAATGATATCTGTATCGACCAGTATGAGAATAGTAGGCCGAAATAATACAAGAATACAGATTAATATTGTAAAAAAAAAAAAAAAAAAACAAACAAAAAAAAATACCCCCCCCCCAAAAAAAAAACTGAATTTTCAAAGCAGTCCATTTGCCTTACCAAATAAGGTCATTAATCATTTAAATTTGACAACTGGGTGGACGGGTTAGCTGATGGGGGAGAGAGATAAGACGACGGGAATTACAGGATTATCGGAAATGGTTTTCGCACACTGTGTAGAAAATAAGAATAACTTCATTAATTGTAAACCTTCTTTCATTTCCTCCGCTGAAACCTCAAAATGCCTCAGTGGAAGAATGAGATGCGAATATTTTATTTACTTTGTTTCCATTCCCAGTTCTTTGTAGTTCATTTTGACTTTATTTAAACCTTATCTATTGATTCAATCATTTCTAGTCTTCCTCTTATTTGTCAATATTTTTAATGTCCACATCTAGATCTCAACCTGTTCATATCTATGTATCTTCAGACAGATATCAAAAGTCTGTTCGTATCTGTGTTGGTCTTTATATTTTTCTATCTATTCAATATTCATTTCTTTCTATCTAGAAATCTATCATAGTTTCCTTCGACGTGGTGTAATGGTTAGAAAGCTTGTCTTGATAGACAATTTTTATCCATTCAGCACAAGCAAGGGGATAATACCATTAAAACGCAAGGGTCTACTGGCAGTGAAAGAGGATGAGAAGACATTAGAAGGAACCGGAAGCTTATTCCTAAACAGAAAACTAAGGATAAAGCTCTACTCCTTTCTTCTCTCTCTCTCTCTCTGCTTCTTTTAGTCCTTTCATCTCTCGGTTTCTTTTAATTCTTTTCTCTCTCTCTGTTTCTTTTAGTTCTTTTCTCTTTCTCTGTTTCTTTTAGTTCTTTTCTCTCTCTCTCTCTGTTTCTTTTAGTTCTTTTCTCTTTCTCTGTTTCTTTTAGTTCTTTTCTCTCTCTCTGTTTCTTTTAGTTCTTTTCTCTTTCTCTGTTTCTTTTAGTTCTTTTCTCTTTCTCTGTTTCTTTTAGTTCTTTTCTCTCTCTCTCTGTTTCTTTTAGTTCTTTTCTCTTTCTCTGTTTCTTTTAGTTCTTTTCTCTCTCTCTGTTTCTTTTAGTTCTTTTCTCTTTCTCTGTTTCTTTTAGTTCTTTTCTCTCTCTCTGTTTCTTTTAGTTCTTTTCTCTCTCTCTCTGTTTCTTTTTAGTTCTTTTCTCTCTCTCTTTCTTTTTTTCTTCTTTTCTCTCTTCTCTGTTTCTTTTAGTTTCTTTCTCTCTCTCTGTTTCTTTTTTTTAGTTCTTTTCTTTTCTCTTTTCTTTTTTCTTTTTTCTCTTTTCTTTTTTAGTTTTTCTCTCTCTCTGTTTCTTTTAGTTTCTTTTCTCTCTCTCTGTTTCTTTTGTTCTTTTCTCTCTCTCTTTTTCTTTTCAGTTCTTTTCTCTTTTCTCTCTGTTTCTTTTTTCTTTTCTCTCTCTGTGTTTCTTTTAGTTCTTTTCTCTCTCTCTTTTTCTTTTTAGTTTTTCTCTTTCTCTGTTTCTTTTAGTTCTTTCTCTCTCTCTGTTTCTTTTAGTTCTTTCTCTCTCTCTCTGTTTCTTTTTTAGTTCTTTTCTCTTTCTCTCTTTTTTTTAGTTCTTTTCTCTCTCTGTTTCTTTTAGTTCTTTTCTCTCTCTCTGTTTCTTTTAGTTCTTTTCTCTCTCTCTCTTCTTTTAGTTCTTTTCTTCTTCTGTTTCTTTTCTCTTCTCTCTCTCTGTTTCTTTTTCTTTCTTTTCTCTCTCTCTGTTTCTTTTCGTTCTTTTCTCTTTCTCTGTTTCTTTTTCTTTTCTTTTCTCTCTCTGTTTCTTTTTCTTTCTTTTCTCTCTTCTCTGTTTCTTTTAGTTCTTTTCTCTCTCTCTGTTTCTTTTTAGTTCTTTTTCTCTTTCTCTGTTTCTTTTAGTTCTTTTCTCTTTCTCTGTTTCTTTTAGTTCTTTCTCTCTCTCTGTTTCTTTTTAGTTCTTTTCTCTTTCTCTGTTTCTTTTTTTGTTCTTTTCTCTTTCTCTGTTTCTTTGCGTTCTTTTCTCTTTCTCTGTTTCTTTGCGTTCTTTTCTCTTTCTCTCTGTTTCTTTTAGTTCTTTTCTCTTTCTCTGTTTCTTTTTGTTCTTTTCTCTTTCTCTGTTTCTTTTATTCTTTTCTCTTTCTCTGTTTCTTTTACGTTCTTTTCTCTTTCTCTGTTTCTTTTAGTTCTTTTCTCTCTCTCTGTGTCTTTTAGTTCTTTTCTCATTCTCTGTTTCTTTTAGTTTTTCTTCTCTCTTTTTTTTTTAGTTTCTTTTTTTTCTCTTTTTCTTTTAGTTCTTTTCTCTCTTTCTTTCTTTTTTTCTTTCTTTTCTTTCTTTTCTTTTAGTTCTTTTCTCTTTCTCTGTTTCTTTTGGTTCTTTTCTTTTCTCTGTTTCTTTTCTTCTTTCTCTTTCTCTGTTTCTTTTAGTTCTTTTCTCTCTCTCTGTTTCTTTTAGTTCTTTTCTCTTTCTTTAGTTTTTTCTTTCTCTCTCTCTGTTTCTTTTAGTTCTTTTCTCTTTACTCTCTGTTTCTTTTTTTTCTTTTCTCTTTCTCTTTTTCTTTTAGTTCTTTTCTCTCTCTCTTTTCTTTTTAGTTCTTTTCTCTTTCTCTGTTTCTTTTTAGTTCTTTTTTCTTTCTTTCTCTCTTTCTTTTTTTCTTTTTCTGTTCTCTTTCTTTGTTTTTCTTTCTCTGTTTCTTTTAGTTCTTTTCTCTCTCTTCTGTTTTTTTAGTTCTTTTCTCTTTCTCTGTTTCTTTTTAGTTCTTTTCTCTTTCTCTGTTTCTTTTTGGTTTTCTTTTCTCTCTCTCTTTTCTTTTAGTTCTTTTTCTCTCTCTCTGTTTCTTTTTAGTTCTTTTTCTCTCTCTCTGTTTCTTTTAGTTCTTTTTCTTTCTCTGTTTCTTTTAGTTCTTTTCTCTTTCTCTGTTTCTTTTAGTTCTTTTCTCTCTTTCTGTTTCTTTTAGTTCTTTTCTCTCTCTCTGTTTCTTTTTAGTCTTTTCTCTCTCTCTGTTTCTTTTAGTTCTTTTCTCTCTCTCTGTTTCTTTTAGTTCTTTTCTCTTTCTCTGTTTCTTTTAGTTCTTTTTCTCTCTGTTTCTTTTGTTTCTTTTCTTTCTTTCTGTTTCTTTTAGTTCTTTTCTCTCTCTTTTTTCTTTTAGTTCTCTTTCTCTCTTTGTTTCTTTTAGTTCTTTTCTCTCTCTCTGTTTTTTCTTTTAGTTCTTTTCTCTCTCTCTCTGTTTCTTTTTAGTTCTTTTCTCTTTCTCTGTTTCTTTTAGTTCTTTTCTCTTTCTCTTCTTTCTTTTAGTTCTTTTCTCTCTTCTCTGTTTCTTTTTAGTTCTTTTCTTTTCTCTGTTTCTTTTCTTCTTTTCTCTTTCTTGTTTCTTTTAGTTTCTTTCTCTTTCTCTGTTTCTTTTAGTTCTTTTCTCTTTCTCTGTTTCTTTTAGTTCTTTTTTCTTTCTCTCTGTTTCTTTTAGTTCTTTTCTCTTTCTCTGTTTCTTTTTAGTTCTTTTCTCTCTCTGTTTTCTTTTAGTTCTTTTCTCTTTCTCTGTTTCTTTTAGTTCTTTTCTCTCTTCTCTCTTTCTTTTAGTTCTTTTCTTTTCTCTGTTTCTTTTAGTTCTTTTCTTTCTTTCTTGTTTTTTTTTCTCTTTTCTCTCTCTTTTCTTTTTTCTTTTTTAGTTCTCTCTTTTTTTTAGTTCTTTTCTCTTTCTCTGTTTCTTTTAGTTTCTTTTTCTCTCTCTCTGTTTCTTTTAGTTCTTTCTCTCTCTCTGTTTTTTTTGTTTTTTCTCTCTCTGTTTCTTTTAGTTCTTTTCTCTCTTCTTTTTTTTTTTTGGTTCTTTTCTCTTTCTCTCTCTGTTTCTTTTAGTTCTTTTCTCTCTTCTCTGTTTCTTTTAGTTCTTTTCTCTCTCTCTTTCTTTGTTCTTTTCTTTTCTCTCTTTTCTTTTAGTTCTTTCTTTCTCTCTTTTCTTTTAGTTCTTTTCTTTCTCTTTTCTTTTAGTTCTTTTCTCTTTCTGTTTCTTTTTTTCTTTAGATTTTTCTCTTTTTCTTTTTAGTTCTTTTTCTCTCTCTCTTTTTTCTTTTCTTTCTCTCTTTCTTTTTTCTTTTCTTTTTAGTTTTCTCTTTTTCTTTTTAGTTCTTTTCTCTCTCTCTGTTTTCTTTTAGTTCTTTTCTCTTTCTCTGTTTCTTTTAGTTCTTTTCTCTTTCTCTGTTTCTTTTAGTTCTTTTTCTCTTTCTCTGTTTCTTTTTTTCTTCTTTTCTCTCTCTCTCTTTCTTTTTAGTTCTTTTCTCTTTCTCTCTTTTCTTTTTTCTTTTCTTTTCTTCTTTCTTTTTTCTCTTCTCTGTTTCTTTTAGTTCTTTTCTCTCTCTCTTTTCTCTTTCTTTCTTTCTTTCTCTCTTTCTGTTTCTTTTAGTTCTTTTCTCTTTCTCTGTTTCTTTTAGTTCTTTTTCTCTTTCTCTGTTTCTTTTTAGTTCTTTTCTTCTCTCTGTTTCTTTTAGTTCTTTTCTCTTTCTCTCTTTCTTTTTTTTAATTCTTTTCTCTTTCTCTGTTTCTTTTAGTTCTTTTCTCTCTTTCTCTGTTTCTTTTAGTTCTTTTCTCTTTCTCTCTTTTTTCTTTTTTTTCTTCTTTTCTTCTTTTCTCTCTGTTTCTTTTAGTTCTTTTCTCTTCTTCTCTGTTTCTTTTTAGTTTCTTTTCTCTCTCTCTCGTTCTTTTAGTTCTTTTCTTTCTCTCTTTCTTTTTTCTTTTTTTCTTTCTCTCTCTGTTTTTTTTTTTTAGTTCTTTTCTCTCTTCTTTCTTCTTTTAATTCTTTTCTCTCTCTCTGTTTCTTTTTTCTTTTCTCTCTCTCTCTTTCTTTTAGTTCTTTTCTCTCTCTCTGTTTCTTTTTAGTTCTTTTCTCTTTCTCTTTTCTTTTAATTCTTTTCTCTCTCTCTCTCTTTCTTTTTTTCTTTTTTCTTTCTCTCTGTTTCTTTTTCTTTCTTTTCTCTCTCTCTCTTTTTCTTTTTCTTCTTTTCTCTCTCTCTCTGTTTCTTTTAGTTCTTTTCTCTTTCTCTGTTTCTTTTAGTTCTTTTCTCTCTCTCTGTTTCTTTTTTCTTTCTTTTCTCTCTCTCTCTGTTTCTTTTTAGTTCTTTTCTCTTTTCTCTGTTTCTTTTTTAGTTCTTTTCTCTCTCTCTTTTTCTTTTAGTTTTTTCTCTTTCTCTCTGTTTCTTTTAGTTCTTTTCTCTCTCTCTTTTTCTTTTAGTTCTTTTCTCTCTCTCTTTTTTTTTAGTTCTTTTCTCTCTCTTTTTCTTTTAGTTCTTTTCTCTCTCTCTGTTTCTTTTTTTCTTTTCTTTTTCTCTCTTTCTTTTCTTTCTTTTTTTTCTTCTCTGTTTCTTTTAGTTCTTTTCTCTTTCTCTGTTTCTTTTAGTTCTTTTCTCTCTCTCTGTTTCTTTTAGTTTCTTTCTTTCTGTTTCTTTTAGTTCTTTTTCTTTTTTTTAGTTCTCTTTTTCTTTTAGTTCTTTTCTCTCTCTGTTTCTTTTCTTCGTTCTTTTTCTCTCTCTCTCTTTTCTTTTTTTCTTTCTTTTCTCTTTCTCTGTTTCTTTTAGTTTCTTTTCTCTCTCTCTGTTTCTTTTAGTTCTTTTCTCTCTCTCTCTGTTTCTTTTTTCTTTTCTTTTTCTCTTTCTCTCTGTTTCTTTTAGTTCTTTTCTCTTTCTCTTTTTCTTTTTCGTTCTTTTCTCTTCTCTCTGTTTCTTTTAGTTCTTTTCTCTCTCTCTGTTTCTTTTTTATTTCTTTTCTCTCTCTCTCTGTTTCTTTTAGTTCTTTTCTCTCTCTCTGTTTCTTTTAGTTCTTTCTCTCTTTCTCTTTTTCTTTTTAGTTCTTTTCTCTCTCTCTGTTTCTTTTAGTTCTTTTCTCTCTCTCTGTTTCTTTTTTTCTTTCTCTCTTTTCTTTTAGTTCTTTTCTCTCTCTCTGTTTCTTTTTTAGTTCTTTTTTCTCTCTCTTTCTTTTAGTTCTTTTCTTTTCTTTTTCTTTTTAGTTCTTTTCTCTTTCTTTCTTTTTTTTCTTTTTTCTCTTTCTCTCTTTTCTTTTTTTCTTTTCTCTTTCTCTCTTTTTTTTAGTTCTTTTCTCTCTCTCTCTTTCTTTTAGTTCTTTTCTCTCTCTCTCTGTTTTTTTTAGTTCTTTTCTCTCTCTCTGTTTCTTTTAGTTCTTTTCTCTCTCTCTGTTTTGTTTTTTCTTTTCTCTCTTTCTCTGTTTCTTTTAGTTCTTTTCTCTTTCTCTGTTTCTTTTAGTTCTTTTCTCTCTCTCTGTTTCTTTTAGTTTCTTTTCTCTCTCTCTCTTTTCTTTTCTTTCTTTTCTTTTTTCTCTGTTTCTTTTTTAGTTCTTTTCTTTTTTCTTTGTTTCTTTTTAGTTTTTTTTCTTTCTTCTCTGTTTCTTTTAGTTCTTTTCTCTTTCTCTGTTTCTTTTTCTTCTTTTCTCTTTCTCTCTTTTCTTTTAGTTCTTTTCTCTCTTTCTTTTTTCTTTTTTCTGTTTCTTTTTTCTTTCTCTTTCTTTTCTTTTTAGTTCTTTCTCTTTCTCTGTTTCTTTTAGTTCTTTTCTCTCTTTCTTTTTCTTTTTCTTTTCTCTTTCTTTTTCTTTTTCTTCTTTTTTCTCTTTCTCTTGTTTCTTTTAGTTCTTTTCTTCTCTCTGTTTCTTTTTCTTCTTTTCTCTCTCTGTTTCTTTTAAGTTCTTTTCTCTTTCTCTGTTTCTTTTAGTTCTTTTCTCTCTCTTTTTCTTTTTCTTTTTTTCTCTGTTTCTTTTTCTCTTTCTCTGTTTTTTCTTTTAGTTCTTTTCTCTCTCTCTTTTCTTTTTAGTTCTTTTCTCTTCTCTCTGTTTCTTTTAGTTCTTTTCTCTCTCTCTTTTCTTTTTCTCTCTTTTTTTTTTCTTTTCTCTCTCTCTCTGTTTCTTTTAGTTCTTTTCTCTTTCTCTGTTTCTTTTAGTTTTTTTCTTCTCTTTGTTTCTTTTAGTTCTTTTCTCTCTCTCTTTCTTTTAGTTCTTTTCTCTCTCTCTTTTTTCTTTTAGTTTTTTCTCTGTTTCTTTTAGTTCTTTTTTCTCTCTCTCTGTTTCTTTTTCTTCTTTTCTTTGTTTTTTTTTCTTTTAGTTCTTTTCTTTCTCTTTCTCTGTTTCTTTTAGTTCTTTTTTCTCTTTCTCTGTTTCTTTTAGTTCTTTTCTCTCTCTCTCTTTCTTTTTTAGTTCTTTTCTTCTCTCTTTTCTTTTAGTTTTTTCTCTCTCTCTGTTTCTTTTTAGTTCTTTTCTCTCTCTCTGTTTCTTTTTAGTTCTTTTCTCTCTCTCTCTCTTTCTTTTTTCTTCTTTTCTCTTTCTTTGTTTTCTTTTTAGTTCTTTTCTCTCTCTCTCTTTCTTTTTTAGGTTTTCTCTCTCTCATTTTCTTTTAGTTCTTTTCTCTCTCTCTTTTCTTTTAGTTCTTTTTCTCTTTCTCTGTTTCTTTTTTTCTTTTCTCTTTGTTTCTTTTTGTTCTTTTCTCTTTCTCTGTTTTCTTTTCTTTTTTTTTCTCTGTTTCTCTTTTCTTTTAGTTCTTTCTCTCTTCTTTCTCTGTTTTTTTTTTCTCTTTTTTTCTCTCTCTGTTTCTTTTAGTTCTTTTCTCTCTCTCTCTGTTTCTTTTAGTTCTTTTCTCTCTCTCTGTTTCTTTTAGTTCTTTTCTCTCTCTCTCTGTTTCTTTTAGTTCTTTTCTCTTTCTCTGTTTCTTTTAGTTCTTTTCTCTCTCTGTTTCTTTTAGTTCTTTTCTTTCTCTCTAGTTTCTTTTTAGTTCTTTTCTCTTTCTCTCTTTTTTTTTTTTTTTTTCTCTCTCTCTCTTTCTTTTTTCTTCTTTCTCTCTCTCTCTTTTCTTTTAGTTCTTTTCTCTTTCTCTGTTTCTTTTTTAGTTGTTTTTTCTCTCTCTCTTTCTTTTTTCTTTTCTTTTCTCTTTCTCTGTTTCTTTTAGTTCTTTTCTTCTCTCTCTCTTTCTCTTTTCTTTTCTTTTTCTGTTTCTTTTAGTTCTTTTCTTTTCTCTTCTTTCTTTTAGTTCTTTTCTTTCTCTGTTTCTTTTTTTCTTCTTTTCTCTTTCTCTATTTCTTTTTTAGTTCTTTTCTCTTTCTCTGTTTTCTTTTAGTTCTTTCTCTCTCTCTCTCTTTCTTTTAGTTCTTTTTCTTTCTCTCTGTTTCTTTTAGTTCTTTTTTCTCTTTCTTTTCAGTTTCTTTTCTCTCTCTTTTTTCTTTTAGTTCTTTCTCTCTCTGTTTCTTTTTCGTTCTTTTCTCTCTCTCTTTTTTCTTTTAGTTCTTTCTTTCTCTGTTTTTTTTAGTTCTTTTCTCTCTTCTCTCTCTTTCTTTTAGTTCTTTTCTCTTTCTCTTTCTTTTAGTTCTTTTCTCTCTTTCTCTGTTTCTTTTTAGTTCTTTTCTCTCTCTCTCTTTCTTTTAGTTCTTTTCTCTCTCTCTTTTCTTTTAGTTCCTTTCTCTCTCTCTCTCTGTTTCTTTTAGTCCTTTCTTCTCTCTCTCTTCTTTTAGTTCTTTTCTCTCTCTTTTTTCTTTTAGTTCTTTCTCTCTTTCTTTTGTTTCTTTTTTCTTTTCTCTTTCTCTGTTTCTTTTAGTTCTTTTCTCTCTCTCTCTTTTCTTTCTCTTCTTTTCTCTTTTCTCTGTTTCTTTTAGTTCTTTTCTCTTCTGTTTCTTTTTTTCTTTTCTCTCTCTCTCTGTTTCTTTTAGTTCTTTTCTCTTTCTCTGTTTCTTTTAGTTCTTTTCTCTTTCTCTGTTTCTTTTAGTTCTTTTCTCTCTCTCTCTGTTTCTTTTAGTTCTTTTCTCTCTCTCTGTTTCTTTTAGTTCTTTTCTCTTTCTCTGTTTCTTTTAGTTCTTTTTCTCTCTCTCTGTTTCTTTTAGTTCTTTTCTCTCTCTCTCTGTTTCTTTTAGTTCTTTTCTCTTTCTTTCTTTTAGTTCTTTTCTCTCTCTCTGTTTCTTTTAGTTCTTTTCTCTTTCTCTGTTTCTTTTAGTTCTTTTCTCTCTCTCTCTCTCTGTTTCTTTAATTCTTTTCTCTTTCTCTGTTTCTTTTAGTTCTTTTCTCTTTCTCTGTTTCTTTTAGTTCTTTTCTCTTTGTTTCTTTTAGTTCTTTTCTCTCTCTCTGTTTCTTTTAGTTCTTTTCTCTTTCTCTGTTTCTTTTAGTTCTTTTCTCTTTCTCTGTTTGTTTTTTTTCTTTCTCTCTCTTCTCTGTTTCTTTGCATTTTTTCTCTTTCTCTGTTAGTTTTTTCTTTTTTCTTTCTTTCTTTTCGTTCTTTTCTCTCTCTCTTTTTTTCTTTTTTCTTTTTTTCTTTCTCTGTTTCTTTTTCTTCTTTTCTCTTTGTTTCTTTTTAGTTCTTTTCTCTCTCTCTTTTTTTTTTAGTTCTTTTTCTCTTTCTCTGTTTCTTTTTCGTTCTTTTTTCTCTCTCTCTGTTTCTTTTTTCGTCTTTTCTCTCGTTCTGTGTCTTTCTTTTAGTTCTTTTCTCTTTCTCTGTTTCTTTTAGTTCTTTTCTCTCTCTCTGTTTCTTTTAGTTCTCTCTCTCTCTCTCTCTCTGTTTCCTTTAGTTCTTTTCTCTCCTTATGTGTGTTTCTTTTAGTTCTTTTCTCTCTGTGTGTTTCTTTTAGTTCTTTTCTCTCTCTGTTTCTTTTAGCTCTTTTCTCTCTCTCTGTTTCTTTTAGTTCTTTCCCCTCTCCCTGTGTTTCTTTTAGTTCTTTTCTCTCTCTCTCTGTGTTTCTTTTAGTTCTTTTCTCTCTTTCTGTGTGTTTCTTTTAGTTCTTTTCTCTCTGTTTCTTTTAGTTCTTTTCTCTCTCTCTCTCTGTTTCTTTTAGGTCTTTTCTCTCACTCTCTCAGCTTCTTTTAGTCCTTTCTTTTTTCTTTAGTTCTTTCTTTTTTTATGAACTCCTTCCGACTTCCTTCGCTTTCTTTCTTGGTTCAATTTCTCAAGTATTTCTATCGCCCTCAGTTTTTTCTCCTTTTCATCCATTTGTCTTACGCCTTTCCTTTGATTTTGCAATGAAGGAAACATAACAGGAATTGATTATCACCAATTTCGTTGACGTACTTTCATCGCCAATAATGTTTACACGCCAACAATCTACAGGCAAATCCTTTTATTTGCTTTCGGCAAAATACCAAAACACAGTGCGCATGCGTGCACTCACACTTTGTCCAACATAAGTACTTTCACATGCCCGGGTAAATAAACAGAAATATATTTATATTATTACTAGTTTTACTCCATTAGTTGGTTCACGGTATTGTGCTAGACAATTTTTCTCTTCCGAATCTATCTTTAATATTTATAAGTTTTCTATTCATCCATGTCTTGAATATTGCTGCCACATATCGTCTGGTGGACCTGCGATATATTTAGAGACCCTCGATAAAATCCAAAGAAGTATCAGTAATGTTTTTGGTCTTGATCTGGCATCTCGGCTTCAGTCAATTTTCCCACTACCGGAACGCTGCTTCTCTGTGCTTTTTTCTAAAGATATTTTCATGGACATTGTTCTGATAATCGTTCCTCATTGTTATCTCGACTTTATGAATTTGAGCACAGTACTAAATTGGCATCAAGGTTTCATCATTTTGCAATTGAAATTGCTAGATGTAACCGTGAATTCTATGAGTTCTATGCTAACAGCTTCTTTTCTGACACTTCTCGTTCATAGAACTCTCTTCCGACATCTGGCTTTCCAATCCATTTTGATCTTCAACAGTTTAAATGTAATGTCAGTCATTGTCTTCTTGATTACTTTTTTATTGTTCTCGCTCTTTAATAATGTTTATCCTTTTGTTGCACTTTTTCACACTGTGTCTTCGTTGTTTCCTTGCTTTGGTTGGGGGTGAAACGATAAAAAAACAAAAAACAAAAAAAAAAAAAAAACAATGATTTATTTTTAGCCAAACAGTCTGGATCAGTACATTCTTCCTTATTACTATTAAGATTTTTCATCTTGTTATACTCGATTTGTATCCGAACATAAAATTTGTTCATATCTGGCAAATCCTTAAGTCAAAAAGATCGAAGCGTTTTTAATCAAATTTTAAAGACAATATTCAGATATTTGGCAACATATAAGCCATTTTGTTGCACTACATTTCGCCATTTTTGAAGCAGCTTCATGATTTCATCTTCTCAGAACTTGGCAATTTTTTGGCTGATGAACTTGCAAGGATCGAAAGTTAGGTGAATACAGCCGGTTCTCACTCATACACACACACACTCACACACATATATATATGTTATGGGGTCCACCCTTTTCGGATATAATGGACTCGTCCTGCTGCCATAAAATAGCCACAGTCAGGCAGAGAAGGGGAGTCGTACATGAGTCGTATGGTAGTCGACAGTGAGTGTCGGTAGTCGGATAGAGTGAAGTAACCTCTTGTAGAAGTCATTTACAAGCACGTAGACTCTAAGGAAGTCCTACTTCGAGACTGTATATATCTATCTGTATTTGCTACTAACCGTGTTCCTGGATTTTACTAACAGCATTACCTTTTGTATTTTTTTGTGTAAAATACATTTAATTTCTTAACAAATACTTGCGTTTGTCATTTATTGGATACCTATTTTTCACGCGGGATCCACAACAACTTGGCGAACGAGGATTCGAAACTCACGCGGGAAAGAACTTGGCCACAAAGATTCAAACCCAAGCGGAAAAGAAAAAGCATCAACAAAAGAAAAATCCTTACCTTGTCGTCCAACAACAAATTAGCGACAAACAATTTCGAGGAGTAAAAATACATAAAATTAAGTTATCATGGAAGATTTTAAAAATATGTTGGTAGAACTAATAAAGCACCAAAATGAGCAACAGTTACAGCTACAAGAAATATGGCAAAATCAATTATTACAAACACAAAAGGAAAATCAAGATAGACAAACAGAGCTCCAGGAACTAATATTGAAAGTAGCAGGCAACAAGAAATTAGATATTGAAGAAGAAACAACATTTTCGCAAGACGCAGTGTGGAATACCATAGAGATTTTCAAATATTCTCTAGATGAGGACAAAAATTTTGGAGATTACTTCAGAAGACATGAAGACATCTTTAACATAAACTGTCAAAATTGGACAGAAGCGAAAAAGCTACGTCTATTGCTTAGAAAATTAGGAACTGAAGAATATACAAAGTTCGTGGATTATATCTTGCCAAAAAAGACGAACGAATTAAAATTTGACGAAGCAGTGACATGTCTTAAAGAACTCTTCAGCACCAAAACATCACTCTTCCATAGGAGGTGGAAATGCCTTAACCTGGTAAAGGGCGATAATGAGGATTATTCCACGTTTGCCGCAATAGTAAATAAACATTGTGACGACTTCAAACTAGCGGAATTAACACCGGACAATTTTAAATGTCTCATCTTTGTTCAAGGGCTAGTTTCTACAAAAGACAGCGAAATGCGTGGAAGAATTCTGGCAAAATTACAAAATGAACCGGGTCTAACATTACAGCAATTATCAGAAGATTGCCAGAGATGTTTAAGCATTAAGAAAGACGCAAAGGACATCGAAGAATCAGCTGCTTCTCATATACGTAAGTTAAACAAAAAGTCTACGTTCTTCACCCTCCTGGAAAGAAAACTAAAATTTTACGACAATGAAAAAAGATTCTCACCCTCCCCGGAAAGAAAAATAAAATATTATGATAAGAGAAAAACTACAACATACAGGACAAATTATGACAAATATCGAAACAAATATAAGCCCCCTCCTGCAGCATGTTATCGATGTGTAGGATTACATTGGAACAAGGATTGCCGCTTCAGATATAAAAACTGTCATGAATGTGGAAAAAAAGGCCACAAGGCATCCCAATGTAGAAATAGAAAAGATACTAATAGAATAAGAGCTACAAGGATGAATAATGATGAGAACAACAATGTAAGAAAATATGTAGAACTGGAAATTTTAAACGAAAAGATTAAATTACAATTGGATTCGGGTTCCGACCTCACGATAATCAACTTACAGACATGGAAAAACTCAATAGACCTACGATGTTACACACTCAAAAAATTGCCAAATCGGTTACAGGAAAACGAATAAAATTTGAGGGAGAAATAATAGTGAATGTTAAATTTCCCGGCAAAACAAAAAAAAATGAAGATATACGTCATGAAAGATACTGAAAACTTAGTAGGTATCGACTGGATGCAGAAATTCAACGTTTGGGACCTATCTATTAACTCGTTTTGCAAAAAGTTAGAAGTTGAACAATCCGACACTATAAAATTGAAGGAGGAATTATATAATCAATTTCCTGAGCGGGTTGGGACGATGCAACAAATTTAAGGCCAAAATAGAATTGAAAGAAAACGTCCAAACAATCTTTAGAAAGAAGCGAAATGTACCGTTTGCAACTATAGAAAAAATAGATAAAGGGAAAATAAGATCGGTGTTTGATAAACTATTACCGAGCAAGAGCAAAAATCAATATACACCGATGGTGCCAAAGAGGTCATTCAAACCTGGAGAACGGGTTTATTTAAAAAATTTTAGAAACAATATGTCGTACTGGGAGCCGGGTACAGTAATCAATAGAATCGGAAATCTAATGTATACCATAAAAGGCGAAAAGTTCACACAGAGAAGACATATCGACCAGCTACAGAAAAGACGAATTGAGTCAACCGCAGAAGATGACGACGCTATGGATACAATCTTTGAAGCGTTTGAGATACAAAGACCGCAGGAAAATACAGTAATGAGAAGGTCAAATAGGAAAAGAAAATTCGTCGAACCACTAATCATCAACCACAAGAGACAAAAATATTAACTCCCCCGAAAAAGGGATCTAAGGAGGGGGGTGTTATGGGGTCCACCCTTTTCGGATATTATAGACTCGTCCTGCTGCCATAAAATAGCCACAGTCAGGCAGAGAAGGGGAGTCGTACCGGAGTCGTAGGGTGTCGGATGGAGTGAAGTAACCTCTTGTAGAAGTCAGTTACAAACACGTAGACTCTAAGGAAGTCCTACTTCGAGACTGTATATATCTATATGTATTTGCTAATAACCGGCGTTCCTGGATTTTACTAACAGCATTACCTTTTGTATTTTGTGTAAATACATTTAATTTCTTAGCTTAAATACTTGCGTTTGTCATTTATTGGATACCTATTTTTCACATAGGATCCACAACAATATATATATATATATATATATATATATATATATATATATATATATATATATATATATATATATATATATATATTCTTTCTTTCTCTCTATATATATATATATATATAGTATATATAAATTTCTCTTTCTCTCTATATATAGTATATATAAATTTCAACCTTTCCTCTTTAAACAATATATATATATAAATCTCTCTTTATATATATATATATGTATTATCAAGAAAATATATATATATTATATATATACATATATATATATATATATATATATATATTTTTCTCTTTCTCTCTCCTTTATGTATATATATATAATGAGAGAGAGAGAGAAACGTGTATATAAATTTTTCTCTCTCTCTATATATAAATTTCTCTCTCTTTTTCTCTCTCTCTCTCTATATATATATATATATATATATATCAATCTCTGTATCTCCTTCCCTCTCTCTCTCTCTCTCTCTCTCTATATATATATATATATATATATATAATCTAGTTAGAGTTATGTTGCGGCCAAAGAAAGCCAATAAAGCATTTTCACGCTGTTATTCTCCTTACAACCTCCCTATGAACTAATCAGACCAAGCAATTTACAACATCAACCTTGATATAAACGCCGCGGTCTTAAACGAACAAGGGAGAAAATGTAATTTACAAAAGCCAATATCGTAAACAACAATTATTGTGGGCTTCGGGATGATGAATAATTTCCCACTTTACTGCGATCAGAATTGTCGAAGGTTTTCCTACTGAAAACGAAATTAGAGTTAAAATACGATGAAAGCATGATTTTGATAGAAATCTTTTTCGCTTGTAAAATCGTATTTCATTTTTAAATAACGCAAAGAAACCGTTTCTTCTCATCTGTTGTTTGCAACATTAAAAACGGAGAATTGCTGTTCGGAAAACAGAAATTTCACACTTGTTATACGAAGACTTCTTTAAAAAGATTTACTCATGCTGACAGGAGAAATTAATTATTTACTAAGCTTAGAGTTGTTTGGCAGAAGGTCAATATAACAGGTCAGCAAATTATTTAGTAAGGCTAGCTTCAATTATAAAAAGATCTGAACTATAGAACATGAAAATATTAAATAAAAGTCTAGTAATTAATTAAATATTCTGAAAAAATAAAGAGAAGGAGGAAGAAAAAGAGAAGGCGGAAGAAAAAAGAGGAGGAGGAAGAAAAAAGAGGAGGAGGAAGAAAAAAGAGGAGGAGGAAAAAATAGAAAGAGGAAGAAAAAGAGAAGGAAAGGAAGAAAGAGAAATAAAGAAAAAAGAAAGAAAAAAGAAGAAAAAGAAAGAAAAAGAAAAAAGAAGAAAAAAGAAAGAAAAAGAAAAAAGAAGAAAAAAGAAGAAAAAAGAAAAAGAAAAAAGAAAGAAAAAAGAAAGAAGAAAAAAGAAAAAAAAAGAAAGGAAAAAGAAAGTAAAACGAAAAAAAGGAAAACAAAAAAAAAAAGTAAAACGAAAAAAGAAAATAAAACGAAAATAAAAGAAATGAAAAAGAAAAGAAAAAGAAAAAAGAAAAAAGAAAGGAAAAAGAAAAAGAAAGGAAAAAGAAAAAAGGAAAAAGAAAAAAGAAAGGAAAAAGAAAAAAGAAAGGAAAAAGAAAAAAGTAAAAGTGTAAAATAAAATAAAAAACTTTTCGCAGATATATATTTTCTTAGATTATTTCATATCTTGGGACACATTTTGTTTTAATTTTCAAGGGGTTGGGGGTCATTTGGCTATTATATACGTCCATTGTAAAATGTGTAATTAAATGTGAAAAGAAAACAAAACACTCATGATAATTTTTTATCAACTGAAATCCAAGGTTTGAAACTCCACCATTTATGAGTTAACCCTTTCGTACTCTTTGAAATATAAAAAATTTTGAGAAAAAAAATTAAAGCGTTGTTAATTTTCCAAGTTATAATTATACTTACTCGTCGTTGTGTTTAGTTACATTTTCTTGTTCATACACATTTTTATAAATGTCTGTGTGTGTGTCTGTGTATATATATATATATATATATATATATATATATATATATATATATATATATATATATATATATATGTCTTATGTGTGTAAAACACAGGCAGTAAAACAAGTCTATTCATCTCAAAGATGAATTAAAAATGTATAGGACATCTTTTCAATTATATAGAATAAAATGACGCCAAATTAGAACTTCGGTCGCTTTTTCATAATATCCATTTATCATTATTAGTGTGTAGTATTCCAGCATTCAGATTAGTCCAGTATAAAATACCTGAGAAGCGTTCATTAATTTTAAAATGTCACCCACCATTAACAAATATTAGTCGGCATGTGCATAAAAGCCAGAAAACTTGGTATTTGCTGGTGAGCATTCACCGTGATTGTGTGATTTGTAACCTAGAAAACTCAGTACTAAATGGCCGACTGCTTTCAATACAGCAGCGTTCTTTTTTGATAGAACGTGCTGAATTGAGAGCCAAAAGATTCTGTCGGAAATACATTTTAGGTCAGGATGCTTATGAAGCAGACGACATTTTTTTGTTGTCCCTGCATTCAGGAAATTATGCGTCATTTTGATTAATAACGAACGAGGGACATTGTATTTTTATTTAAATAATATTCCGGATTGGAGCCACAAAGGGGATTTATTTAAAAAAAAAAGAAAGAAAAAAAAGAGGCATAAAACCTTTTCATTTATTCTAATGATTTTATATAGAGAGACTTAAAAATTACGAAAAATATCTATAGAAAATTGACTGGGAATGTTATTAAAGAAGGCATAACATAACTGAAATTAAGGTATATTACACCATGAATGGTATTTAGGGCATTTTCTTGACAAGCAAATAATTTCCGGCGGTAGTGAAATATTTGATAATTAAATGGATTCGCAATTAAAAAACAAAAACAAACAAAAAAATTCGCTGTTTTAATAAGTAGTTGGTACTGCATTAAAAGCAAAGAAGGGATTATCAGTGGTTAAGAATGAATGCAAGCATTATTGATGGACAAGGGCTATTATATGTATAATGTAAATGCATTGCTAATGATTTTACTATAGGAATGCATTGAAAATGAGGAAGAAAGGGATTGTCAGTGGTCAGGAATGAATGCAAGCATTACTGATAGAATAGGGCTATTATATGTATAATGTAAATGCATTGCTAATGATTTTACTATAGGAATGCATTGAAAATGAGGAAGAAATGGATTGTCAGTGGTCAGGAATGAATGCAAGCATTACTGATAGAATAGGGCTATTATATGTATAATGGAAATGCATTGCTCATGATTTTACTATAGGAATGCATTGAAAATGATGAACAAAGGGATTGTCAGTGGTCAGGAATGAATGCAAGCATTACTGATAGAATAGGGCTATTATATGTATAATGGAAATGCATGGCTCATGATTTTACTATAGGAATGCATTGAAAATGAGGAAGAAATGGATTGTCAGTGGTCAGGAATGAATGCAAGCATTACTGATAGAATAGGGCTATTATATGTATAATGTAAATGCATTGCTAATGATTTTATTATAGGAATGTATTGAAAATCAGTAAGAAAGTGATTGTCAGTGGTCAGGAATACATGAAAGCATTCATTGTCCGCAATGTGTAATCTGCATCGTGTTGAAATAAAAACCCAACGACAATATAAATAGCAATCAAATATGCATAAATTATTTGTACCCTTATTTATTAGACGCATTTTGGGAACTGCACTGCACAAATGTATGAAAAATTAGTTTAATATATTTGTTACTGTTAATGCGCAATTGACATAAATCTCGAGAAATCTTTTGATACGTTTATAGAGAAGTACAGAAACAACAACATATGGTTATCTAAGGTTGGAGTACAGACTGGCACCTAGATCCCTATGTTAGTTTAGACTGTGTGATGATTGGGCACTTACCTCGATCACTGTGCAATGTAGGGATTCAGTTCATGTGGTTGTATATAACGCGGTATATTGATTTTATAGGAAGTAAATTTAATTTTCCAGCTTTAAATAACCTACAAATGGTTGATAAGCCGTCAAAAACAAATCAATCTTGATAAATCTTGTAAAACATTCACAGTGAAGAGCAGAAATGATTTCATATGTTTATCTCCAGTTGGAGGACACACCCGGGATCTAGATCTCTCAGTGAATAGGGTTATTATATAATCGGTTATTTAGTGCCGAAATCTAAATATTTTGTACACAATTTTTAGACTAGTTTTACTAATTAATTTTTAATGATGCAATTTTTACTAATTAACCAATAGCCAAGGGGGAGAAGATGTGGATTCATACCTCTCCCAAGGATATTTGCGCGCAAGTGAATATAACAAACTCAATGGGGATTGGAACTCGGATCTCAGATTAACAATTACGACTCATTATCCATTAAACCACCAGCACATCTAAGCTTATAGCACCTGGTATTCCAAAGAGGTCACCCGTCCAGGTATTGACCAGGCACAGCGTTGCTTAAATTCGGTTATCGTACAGGAACCGGTACTTCATCGCGATGTGGCCGTAAGCCCTTTACACCACCCGGACATCCAAGCTTACAGCACCTAGTATTCCCCAGCGGCCACCCGTCTACGGAATAAACAGGCGCGACGTTGCTTAACTTCGTTTATCGTACGGAAGCCCTTTACACCACCCGGACATCCAAGCTTACAGCACGTGGAATTCCTAAGCGGTTAGCTTTCTAGGGACTGACCATACTCGACGTTGCATAACTTCGGCGCTCGTACGGGAATCGGTGATTCATTGTGATGTGGCTGCCAGCCGCAACAGAAGTTAGCTAGCCATCGTAGCGTATGTTTTACTTGAAAAGGACCTGTCAGCCAGTACAGTATTAACAGTCTGCCAGATTAGCTTGTTTACCACTACCGTATACATAGCAGTAGTTTTCAACTTTCCCTAGCTGCCGACATTTTGGCTCTCAGACCACATACATAGATCCTCTCTCCGATACACTGAAAATCAGTAAGAAAGGGATTGTCAGTGGTCAGAAATATATGAAAGTATTCATTGTCCGCAATGTGTAATATTTAACGTTCCATCATCGGATAAATCCGGATTTTTCTCCAGTCACGACTGACGTCTGTAATGTGAATGGGACACAGTGTCTGGAAAGGTCTGTTGGGACTAACTAACCCCAGACCTCAACTAGAACTCGTATATACGATTCATTTCTTAAGATATCGGAAAATGGTCGGCCCCTTGTACTGCTCCAGAATATAACTCATTCTGCCATTCTCTATCTTTCAAAGACCCAGATAAGACAAAAAAAAAAAAAGAAAAAAAAGGAGTATTGCTGCCATATTTGGGTTGGAGCCTTGACAAAGTTCAAAAGTGTTTACGCAGCCCTATGGGTGATGAATTATTTTCACCCTAAAACCCTTTTTACCCAGACGATACGTTGCTAGCCTCTGGCTACTCTATCGCTATTTTCATGACAGGTTCAGACGAGCTGCATTTTGTAGTTTCACCAGTTCAGACCTTCACAGCTAGAACCCGTCATTCAACGTACGCAGAGTTGACTCATCCTTATTACCTTCGTATTCCACTTGTAAGAAAGAAGTTCAACTCAGACAGCTTCTTCCCCATAACTGTTACGTTGTGGAACAGACTCCCGAGAGAATAGTTCCCCGATCACTACAATCTTAATTTCTTTAAGTCTAGAGCCAAACGTAATCTATCTTACATAATATTCACCTCTTACTCACACCTTGTACGCCCTTACGAGCTTATTCAGTATCCCTCTACCTGGACTGGCTCTTTGGCCTTGAGTATAGAAATTAGGTATACTGCAAATACAAAACAACTAAAACTGTAAGCATATATGCTTTTCGGGTTTTATTAGATGTCATTAGATAGTTGTCGTTAGACGAACATCTGTGGCTATATCGAGTCACGTGCACATAATAGCAAAATACAACGTTTGGACTTCTTCGGGAAACAAAATAAAATCAAACCATTCGTTCTTGTATAACTCATGTTCATTTTATTCTTTGTAAAGAGTTCCATAAGGGTAAGCGACTTACATTATGTCAGCTTTTTTACGTGCCACGTCACTTTAGTACGTAAGCGATAATAGTCCTCTACAACTTCCTATCCTTTGTGTTGTAACCTAGCGAAGGTTACTGAATAGAATAATCACATGACGGTTGGTAATGAAAGATAATACTTAGGACAAGAACAACACATATAAGATTCGTCAACGGCGCTTAGAAGTAGTAGTCAACTGCTAGACGCGAGTCAAGTGAACTCCACAATGAATCTCCAACTGAAGGATATCTACCAAACGCCCCACGCGGTCAAATGTGGCACAAGGCCGAATTTAATGTGGGGTATCCGAAGACTCAGTCAAAAATTTCCCGTAGACCCTGTATAAAACGGGGTCCGGTATCTGTTTCCCGAGATAAGATTCTGCCCTTCGACATAGCCTCGTCTGGGGATCCTCTCTGCCCGGAGGCAGAGAGTTTGATCAGCACACCTGGAAACGAATCTCCAACTCTAGACTAACATACAGTATTTACTACTGTATTTATGTGAATGGGGACATACCCATTATCGTCCGTAGGTATGCTACAACACTTTGTAACTGTAAATGATGTGTATCCCCTTACTATCCATCCTAGTCCATGTTCTGTTATCCACTTGGACATGTTAGTCCCTGTTTTCTCGCTGCTCCTTTTATCTTCAATATCTCTTGTGAGTATGAAATTCTTGAAACCCTCTTTCCACTATGTGCCCGAGAAGTTCTTTTACATTCCCATTTTAGTTAAAACTTCGTTATTATTCGCATGTTCAATCCATAGTATCCTCAGCATCCTTCTGTAGAACCGCATTTCTCTTGTTTCAGGTTTCCTCTTCATCTGTAAATATATGGACGTTTGATGGGCATTTCGTTGTGGTGTAATGGTTAGCAAGCTTCTCTTGCGAGATCAATTACAATTTAGTTGTGAGTTCGATCCTCACTGGGTTCTCCACACTTTCGCCCTTGTGCCACATCGAAACTATGCTTAGAAAATCGTTGCGCTCTTCGATGTGATGTAATAGTTAGCAAGCTAGACCAGTTACGACGGAATAGCGCGTTCGATCCTCACTGGGTGCCCCATATTTTAAGCCTTGTGCCATATCTAAGCTTCACTTAGAAAATCGTTGGGCACTTCGACGTGCTATAATGGTTAGCAAAATTGTCTCGCTATATCAGTTATGACGGAATAGCGAATTCGATGGTCACTGGGTGCTCCATATTTTAGGCCTTGTGCCATAGCAGTTGAGTACTTTGTTTCCAACGATTTTTGTTTTTTCACTATTACGTTTCTGGAAGGCTTCTTTTGCTATTGCAATGCATCTTCGGATTTCGGTGTCACATTTCCTATTGTCTGTTATAACGCTTACCGGGAAGTTTATCTTCTGTGCTTACTTTAATTTGAGGTTTCCAATTTGTAGCTGGTATGTTGGACTGTTCCTCTTCCTAACTCTCTCTCCCTAGACTCCTCCCTTTGTCCTCACTGCCCACCGAATCTTTCTATCCCCATCAGACCAGTACCGACCACTTTGGAAAGCCCGGATTTAGAGTTATATCCTTTATGTCAATGAATATAACGTTATACTGCTTCTATGTTCCGCTTCTCTTCAGGACGTTGGCGATCATGGCTTTCCAAAATCTTCCGGCTATATGCTTTCCAGTCAACTTTAATCTGCAAAAATTTAAATGTAATCGTTATCTGCTGTCCTCCTGATTACTCTTTCTCTTCCCGCTCATTATTAATGTTTCTGTTCCTAATTACTCCACAGCCAATAACCACTTGTGTCTTAGTGGCTTTTCTGCCTTGCATGGGGTGAAATCGATTACTCCCACAAAAAAATAAAAAAAACACTGCACCACCATCCATTTACCCAATCAAGCTCGCCTGGTAGGCTATGCATTGTTTTCATCTGCCCCTCTTGCGTTCAATCTGTCCTGTGAGTATCAAATTTTCCAAGCTCTCTTTGCCCATTATGTGCCCTAGAAATTTAACAGATTAAATATTTAGACATTCTTTTTTTTCTTTTCTTTTTTCGTGATGTGAAGTTGAGTTTTTCGGTTTGTAACTGTAAAAAGAAAGATAGCACCTGTCAGAAGGCTAATGTGAAATTATTGCACGAAACATCGTTTGTGATGGATGGCAATATTTTTCTCTTCAATATAATAGAATAAATTCACAGTCTGGACAATTAATATCGGTGAATATCAAACTCCATATTTCGACCACTGGGAACTTAGAAACATTTAATCAGAAAAAAAAAATCTAAATTTAAAAAACAAAAACACTGCGATAATCAAATTCTCGGGGAATCATACAGGAAGCATTGCTTTGTTCTCTTGTTAATATGACCATATCTGTGAGCCATCAATTAGCGTTTCGTATGACGACTTTACCGCCATTTTCGCAAAGCTTAACGTCTGTTCAACTACAGGAGGCGTTCCTCAGTTAATTGCTCTAATAGCAAGAGAAAATATTAAAAAATTCTAATTTACACTCCGAAGTCATCATTATTAAATTGCCGGAAAGCGAATTTTTGCTTATTAATTTGCGGAAATAATATAAACAGACATTTTCTAAAATCTTATGATTTGTTCTCACAGAGGTCAGCAAAATGACAGAAATAAGTCGATAAATATTAATATGATTAGTAAATGATTGCGTGTAACCTAAAATGGGGAGGATCCCTTAACTTCATTTTTTTTTTCGTACAGGCCGCTTCAGGAGAGAAGCGATTATGGCTCTCCACATCTTCCTTTTCTTTATTACCTATGAATTGCGATATATTCGATGGAAATATAGCAGCATAATTTTCCGTTACTTTCTCTACAGCTTGGAATTCAGAATAGGCAATCATGGCTCACCCCAGTGTGACGGTTACACACCTGGCCCAGGGTCGAATCCCTTGGTTACGGCGCCAACTGTGACGTCGCTCCTCCTGGTCGCTCCTCCTGGTTCCAAGCGTGCCGCTCCAACCCCTTGGTTGGATGATCACCAGCCTCGCCTTTCCCAACTCGCTTCCAATACCTGGTTACTGAAGCAACTGTACTGATCTCCGGTCTGTCTACCCACGTTGTGTTTAGATCTTAGACAGACGGGACCAGCAGGGATTGGAGCCGATACAAGTTGAGTCCGACGGGGTGGCAAAACACAAGTAAAAGAAAAAAAAAACTCACGAGACAAAAAATTACTGATAAAAAAGGGTGACATCCTTTATATCTAATGTCCGTTACATAAAGAAAATTGTTCTCAATTCCCGACCCGCTCTGTGGACTATGGCACAAGCTTCTATCACACAACCCTAAAGATTTCGAATTGCCTACTCTTTAGAATTGTGTATGTCGGAGTGTGGTTTGGTTCGACACTGGGGCTAATTTCTATCGATCATTCGCAGTTGATTCTTCTCTTCGACTTGAGTTGTATTTCTTCTTCTTCGTCGACTTAGGCTGGAAGTTCTCTTGTCTTCGACTTGGGCTGGAAGGATTTCTTGCCG